CGATCCGTGAGTAAAAACCCTCGTGTTTTCTCTCCCTTGGGGAACTCTGTAGATTACTTTTATCAGAAAACACTTGGATTTCTGCATTTAGGGAAGAGAATCAGTCTGATGATGATGACGGGACCGTTTATATAACTCCTCTGAATGGAGGGGTTCGGGTTGCAAACTGTAACTTGTACCATTTGCATAAACCCTGTCCATCCATCTGAAAAACGGCGAGCATGTTTAGCCACTCTACGTAACGTTCGTGGATGAACGTGCGTTAATGATGCGTCATGTTTTGTACGGCTGTCAGCAGTCCGTCCCTCAACCGCCGTCATGCGTCGCGGGAATGTTTTCTGTGTGACCCCGGGCGAGACTTGAGCTGAAGGCGAAGCGTGTGACAGCTGATGACGCGGTGAGCTGCGCGTTTGACGTCGCTGTGCGAACGTTGAAAGGCGGAGGGCGTGACTTCATTTACACCGTGCTGTTGGAGTGAAGGCTGCTTAGCCCCGCGGGAGCACACGTTGTTCTCTGGAGGGACGCGCGCCGCTCTCGCTGGAGGGGCGCGCGCTAGAGGGAGGTGGGACTCATTACCGGATTCTTCGGCTGCTTCACGTTTAAGCTGCGGTGAGCTGCCGAAAGCTGAGAGAGAAGGACCCCCACCCGGACCAGCCTGCGGACCACATTTATACCGATGTGAGCTGGTTAGCGCCGGCAGCTGTGTGCGCCAGCATCAACGCAGCACCGTTGAATGGAGGCTGTCATCTTAGTGTTCGACTCGTCATGTCAAGAGCGGCGGTGAATTAAAAACCTTATTTAAGGACACCGGCTCATGTCGAGGCTGTTCCATCCCACAAATGCGAGTTGACACCGCTTGAGTGAGGATCATGCAGTTCTAGTTGGTAATGAGTTATTTTCGCTTACCGTTGTGCCGTGATCGACCCGTCATGTCTAGAGCGACGGTGAGTTTAAAAAACCTTTATTTAAGGACACCGGCTCATGTGGAGGCTGTTCTGTGATCGACTCGTCATGTCTTAGAGCGACGGTGAGTTAAAAACCTTTATTTAAGGACACCGGCTCGTGTGTGGGGCTGTTTCATCCCACGAGTGCGCTCTTATGTGTGCGGCCGCTGTGAGCTGATCCGGGCTTACAGACTGGTTAAAAAACAGACACTTGGATCATTAATGATGATTTATTTCAACTTTCGTGTCACTTTTACACACACCCTCCGGAGACCGTCATTTGAGAGCTTTCTCTCTCATGAGCTCTGCGATTGTTTGCCCAGAGCGCTGTCTTGCAGGCGAACTCTGGGGAAACGCTGAGCTGCAGGCTGCCGGAGTGCAGAGGGCTGGATTCTGACGGGCGGGGCTGGTGGTGGAACTCAGCGAGAGCTGCGGCCGTGGAAAAGTCGAAAACTTGCTCGCGACGGTCCCTCCAGCGGGGACGGGGTGGGCCGCGCGGCTTGATGAGGTGGCGAACAGCTTTTGGCACCTCCTCCGACTGTTTCACTTCGCCAGCATGGTTTGAAGATGCTCTGAACAGCGCGTCCGCGATGGGCTTCATCAGGTCTTGTGCAGATTCTCCGGCAGCGAGGGGAGTAACGAAGCCAGGTGGATCGTTGGGTCATCGTCCTCCGCGCTGCAGTCCCCGACAAGGCAAACCGTGGGAGAGGCACACATGTTGAGCTGGCGTCAGCTGCTTACAGAGGGAGATCTTCGTCTCCAAGGCAGGTCTGCGGCCTTCAATCCCTTGGACATGCTATATGCTAGCAGCGCACGTTGTTGCTAGCTGCGGCTGCCTGAAAAAACACGTCGGTGGGCTCGATTGGAGAGCGTGGTCGCCGTCTGTGTTCCTCCGGAGGGACGGGACGCTGCTCCGACCTGGGCAGCTTCGCTCCGGAAGCTTCCGCGAGGCTTGGCTCCAGGGGGGGTTACTGAGGAATAGCCCCGCTCGGTGAATCCCTCAACTCTGGTGATGGGAGCGGACTGGGGACCGACTCCTCTAATCTACCAGGAAAGAACCGTCTGCGGCCTCGCCCGTGGAACGTCCTGTTGGAACGCGAGGCCGTATGGATCAAGACGGCGAGCCAGAGTGGAGCCCAGTGAAAAATAGCCTTTCCGCCGATCATCCGAACTGGCGGGAAAAGGCGAGGGACGTAGAAAAAAGGGGTCCCTTCATGTCAGCCTCCTCCTGGGTTCCGCCGGGCAACCCCTGAGGGCGCCGTCGGCCGGGAGCGGTGTGATCGCCGATGCGAAACGAGGTGGGATGGGGTGAGCATTCACTCAGCCCCCCTCCACCTACACTACGCTCCCCAGGAGGGAAAGAGCAGCGGGGCTGCAGCTGAGCACGCCTTGCCCCGGAGGAACCATCCGGTTCGCCCCGAGGGTCGGCGATAAGAGGAAAACCACAAGATGGCGTTGTCCAGCGTGTAGTGACCTGTCACTGGGAAATGTTCCACGACGCTTACCTTGGAATAAGACTGCTGTCATCTTCTCCTCGGGGAGGAGAACTCACCGGACGACCGGAGGTCGACTGCCGGGCCAAGCATCTTTCGCAAAGGTTGGTCATTTACACAATTTATCTTCTTTGTTCTTCTGACAGTGCTATATTAGCTCGCTGAAGAAAAAATGGGAGCCGATTTCCCGCTCTTAACGTAATTTATACGGACCGGGTGGGGCCCACACAGCAGGTGGGCGTGGACTAATTTTTTCAGTGCTTATGCTCTGCATAACGGGATAAACCCACTAAAGCGAAGGCCTTAAAGGGCGAAGCTTATACGACATAGAACTTCAAATTTCTTAACACCATGTTGACACTTGGAGAGCACGTTTTTAGCCTTAATACTGAAAACAAAATGTGAAGAGTTCTCCATTTTGCCTATTTTTGTTGTAATATTTGATGATTTTGACAAAAGTTACTAGATCTGCAAATTTTATCCATGCTTTTTTACTTCTTCCATGTTTTATAAAATCCAACTTGCTGGTTTTTGCATAAACCAAAAGAACAAACTCTAAAAACTTGTGAAATTCACATGACCTTAGTTGAGGTAATTACTTGTTATATGTACAACAAAATACACACAATAGGATAATCAACTGCACAATGCTCACGTGTCAAAAAAAAAAAAAAAATTAACACTGATTTTCTCCAGAAAGTTGCTTTAAATTTTTGGAGCTTAAACAGAAATAGCAGCTCAGGTGCAGAATAGATGCTGAAGGACGGCTTTCTGGCTTACTTTCAGCACCACCCTGCTCGTGTTTAGTCCTGAGAAAGGAAAATGAAAGGCAGCATCTTTGACATAAGTAGGAGCAAGAGTCACACAAATACAGTACAATAGAGGCCCAACACTAGCAATTGCCCAAACCCCAAGTTTACTAAGCAGATGCACACATGCATACACAGGCCAACACTGAAAAAGATTTACAGTGTAGTGTTATTTCAGGGCTCATCAACGAATAATGTACAGGTTTGAACAGAGTCCTCTCTGGTCCTCTCACACTTCAGGGAATACATGTGGTTGATTTATACAAAGAGTTCAATTGAACTCCAAGCTGATGCAGTAAATTGTCTGTGGTCGAAGGTGAAGGAGATGGAAGCAAAGTGTGAGGATAGAATATGTTTGAAAATGCTGGTCACAGTGTTTGAAACCTTAAAAAGAAGATCCAACAAGGTCCTGATAGCCATCAAACGGAACAGACGGAAAACATGCCAGTCATCAGGACAATAGTCTCGTTTTTCTATCCCCTGCCTTTTGGTTCCCATGTACAAAAAATCGCCCCTCAGTTCCCCTAAATACCACCTGCGATGGGGGAAGGTTAACTTGGGGAGCACAGTCAAATTTGAAGCCCTTTTTATTTGTAAGACAGAATCCACTTTTCCTGCTAAACACCTGTCAACTATATTCAACACAGACAGACAGATGAAGCAGATGAGCTGTCAGACTCATGCATTGGAAAGATAACAAACAGAAAACACAAAATCCCACAAAGTTATGCTTTGAAAGTGCTTTCACAGCACTTTGGTTGGATAATATAGTGCTCAAATGCCAACATGAAAGAGTCGAGCATAAAAAAAATACTTAAAAAGATCATTGACACCTGCCACCTCATGCAGCTGTGTAATTACAGCACAAATTTAAACCTTTTCTTAACTTGTAATCGAGGACAAAAGAAAGTCCACCCTCTGTGATTGCAATATTTATTACTAGATTGTAAAATTGCTCAACTCTAACCCCAAGTGTACAAAAATGCAAAACAGATTCCACCATGCCTTCATTTATGAAATAAAAGAAGTTAGATGCAAGTAAAATTTATGGTGGCCGTGACGTGTAAATGAACAACATTTGAAAAAACAGACTTTACATTTCAAATAATGCAACAAAAGCAACAAAAACACAACAACATTTGAAAAAGATGGAATTACATTTGAAAAAAACTGAATTACATTTGAAAATACTGAATTATATCAAGCCGTTTTATGTTGTTAATAAAGTTAAAAGAATATACACACAAACACACACAAAAAACACCACTTCCAGTTTTGTTTGATGTAATTCCATATTTTTTCCAAATGTAATTCCATTTTTTTAATTCTGTTTTTTCAATTGCGATTCCGGCCACTTCCACTTTGACCACTTTCACTTCGACCACTTCCACTTTGGCTTAATGTAATTCCTTTTTTTTTTAATTATTTATGTGATTCTGGCCACTTCTGCTTTGGCCTAATGTAATTCCATTTTTCCCCAAATGTGATTCTATTTTTTCAAATGGGATTCCGGCCACTTCCGCTTCGACCACTTCTGCTGTGGCTTAATGTAATTCAGTTTTTTTCAAATGTAATTCCTTTAAAAAATATATATAAAATTCTGTTTTTTCAAATGTTGTTAATTTACACCTCACTGTCACCGTAAAAATTAGAGCTGGACAACAGATAAAGATACCTCTCACTTTGTTGACCCATTTTATTTTAATCTCCCCTTTCCTTTATTCAGCACACAACCTTGCAAAATTAGAAAAGTGCTACCACTCACCATCATCGCTATCTTCCAAAATAATGACTTTGGCAGAGGGGAAATGGGGTCCCACCTGCCCACCCATGGGCAAACTGAGGCTGACATTGAAGCTTTCCTCCTCCTCATATAAGGAATCATCAATAATGATGACGCGGCAGATTTTTTCTCGTTCGTCTTTATCGAAGTACAGCACACTGGTGTGGTCCTTGGGTCGAGTAATGTAGTCAGAGTAGGACAGGACAGTGGTGGGGACGGTGCCAGTGGCTGTGCCTAAATGAATTATGAGAACAGAGTGGAAACATGATGAAGGTTCTTCTTGAAAGTTCTGTTATTATTTTATGTTTGCTTTCAGCAGTATTATCAATCTACTGGAATGAGAAAATAACATAAAAAAGGGTACAATTAATGTACAAAAGCAGCAAATCAACATGGTAATACAGAGAATGAAGTTCCCTTTTTTGTCTTATATAAAGAGTGATCTCACCTTGCTGAGTGTAACAAACTACCATAAGTTCCTGACTTGCATCTCCTGAACGTCTGACCAGCACTAACAGCTCTCCAATATCCTCCTCAATCCTAAATTCAGCTTCTGGAATAAAGACAATCGATTCTGTTTTGGAGAAAAAAAAAACCCACAACATTAAAGTCATTGATAACTGTATCAAACCAAATATTCATTAAATCAGCCATGTAAATGTAAAACTTTTTTCCAAATTTCCCAAGGTGCCAAATTCCTACCATCTCCTGGGTCCACAATCTCCACCGTTGCTATATTGGGATACTCCAGTACAGCCATGACAGGATCTGTAAGATGAATCTCAAAGGTCTCAGAGATTTCAAACTCCTGATCTGTGAAGATCTTAACCTTCCAGGCTGCTGTTGTCTGGCCCGGGTTGAACTGGACTTGCTTCTGAGCTTTACTACGAAAGTCCTTGTCCTGCTCAGCTGTTCCATCCTTGGTTGAAATACCTACAGGAGAGAGACATTTTGAAGGAATTTGACTCTTTTAAACCACAAGCAGCAAAATCCAAGCAGGATCGTTGAAGTTTGACAGCCGCAGCTAATCTGGCCTGGTCAGGCTGCCGCCTATGTGAAGGTTTGCTCTGTGTCTTGTGCACCCAGACTCTATTGCTTAGTGGACTGGATCGCAAATTGGATGTGATTTTTGAGAATTGCAGGCCATATGTGTCCCCTAGGACTCACTGGCAGGATGGATCAAATCTCAGGGAATATTTTCAGGCACGGATCAGTGGTGTGTCCACTTAATTTGGACCTTTCAAAATCTACGTGAGACCAGCAAAGACTCAAGGCAGATAAAAATTAAAGTTTTGCCTGGCTTCAAAACAAACGTTTATCTGAATTTGTCTCTCTTGGCTGGCCTTGCATGCCACCTTACCTCAATTTGCTTGGAGGCCATGTAATCTGACGCTCTGCCTCCCCCCCTCCCATCGAGGAATTCCAACTGATCAACCTGAGGAAACCAGCTGAATAAACATTGTGTCATGATTTCATGACTCTTGGAATCTCATCGACGCTGTCCTTGGCCATTCCCCAACATCCCTCGAGAATGTTTACAGATCTCACCCGAGAGAACTGGCTGATTATTCCATCCTTATCAGAACTCCTACAGTGCTCCCAAGAGTGTCCTTGGACACTCTTGGGAGCACTGTAGGAGTGCCCCTCAGTGTCCCTCACCTCCCTTGTCATCCCCCCTTTGTGGAATGTCTACGTCACCATGTGCTTGTATGTGCGAGGTGTTTTTTCATTATCAGGGTCTTTCTTCTCAGCCAAGAAGAAAGCATTTGATAGGAATTTTTTTGCCTCCAATTCCTACATGTGTTCAGTTTCACTACTTTTTTGTCTGTCTAAACAGATCTCATTTGTAAATGAGTCTTTGAGGCTAAACGTGATTTATCTGTCTAAATAAAGGTTGAATTGAATTGAATAATATTTAAGTCTATGTGGTCCTTAGATTCTTTTTTATGTTTGTCACTTCAAAATTTGGACTGAATCCATTTGACTTGGGACATGATCTTACAATGCAATGCATTCTGGGTACTTCAAGGCTAAATTTGAGTTTGTTTGACTGTTCTCTCAAGGCATTTGGTTGAACAGAGATGATGTAGTTCAGAAGCAAGTGGTATGCCGATGTCCCTGGTTCCTGAGGGATTTGAATAGTGAATATTTGTAGTTTTCAAGAAGAATGTTTTTCTGGAGTGGAATTGAACGGTATACAATGTTTTTGGTGCAAGGTATTCAAATGGGTAAAAGTTACACTGTTTATAAGAAGCGGCGGTGAGCTGTGCATTTTGCATCTGGGACTTCATTGGTGTCCTGCCTGAATTCATCCAACTCTTAATACTACCATTATAATGCCACAGCTATAGAAACCAGCAATAATTCACAGAAACACAGAATAATATGGTGCTGCATCACAGACAAGTGTTTCATGTATTGAGAATGAATGACGTATCCTTCAACTGAACCCATGCACCACATACATATTTACCAAAAGCATTAACATGGATATAATGAATTGACATTAAAAAAAAAAAGTGAATGAAATGCTCTTTACTCACCAAACATTTTTAATAATCTGTACACACATTATATCCTCTTTTTTTCCTCCAGAAGAGTTCAGTTCCTCTGTCTTACAGGTCATCACGACATTTCCATTTCAATAATAAGTCATTTTCTATCGCCATGAAGTCTGTTCTGTTGTGTTTCCAGCACAAGTTTTTATTTGCTTTATGTCTGAGAATGCTCACTTGACATTTAGCTTGTGCATGATGCTACAGATGCACTTTCTTAGATCTGACCGTCCAGTCAAACAATATTAAAATGCTGACGTTTTATAATGCCTGCTAGAAGACCCTGGTGTTGCCATAACATCAGAATAAACAAATTAACAGGTTCATTCCCATTTGTTTTAACCTACAAGTGCCTGCATTGTTGATTCTGAAGGCCTCAAGGCAGACTTCTTTGCACCTAGCAACAAATAACGGTTGTAATGTAATTGGATAAAAGCTCTATACAAACATATTCTAGAAGCAGTGCAACTTGGAGTAAAGCAATGTAAAGTAATGAAAAGAACAGATATTTCAGAACAATATTAATAAATTAAAGAAATATACTAAAATGTAAGTTTGTGATTCTGATTGTGTTTAGGCTAGCAAAGAGTGCTTTACGTTGCTTTTTTCGGCCGCCACTCACTTTTGTCTGGACAAAATCAGATGGTAATCATGGGAAGTGGAGGAATCAATTTTATCTATGACTAGGTGCAATGGTGGAGCCAGAGGTGGCCAATGGATTAATCTTAGGCCACCCCTAGTGCCTTCTAAATCATTTGAGGAAACCATATTTTTTAAGCAATATAACAATTAAAAATCACAGTTTCCTCATGTACGGTATATATATATATATATATATATATATATGCAACAAGGCAGTTTTCTACAACCAGCAGCTGATTAACATCTCAAAAGCTCAAGTAATATCTCAACTACAGCCCCAAATCTCAAATGAGTTGAAAGGATGTTCTGTGGATGCATTCTTATCTACCTGCCAGCTGTCCTCGAGTGCCTGACCACTGAGATCCTGGAACTAGCTAAAAGGCTAGCTAGAAGGACTAGCTAGAACTAGCTAGAAGGACGGATCGTCCCTCAGCACCTACAGTTGGCTGTCCGCAGCGACGAGGAGCTCGACAGACTGCTGGGAGGAGTGGCCATCGCTCTGGGAGGAGTTCTGCCCAGCATTCAGGCGGTCCTACAGCCCAGGGGAACCGAGAGTCCAGCTGAGTCTGGGTGGACGGAACGGACGGCATCTGCAGCCAGTTTTTTAGGATCCACTGTGGGATGGACCTTTACAAGAGATCCTTCCTGCCTACAGCCATCAGTATCTATAGCATCTCAATGAAATGAGGATAACGAGTTACAACAACAAATAATTTACCTTTGGGATTAATAAAGTATTTTTGAATTGAATTTTTGAATTGAATTGAATACATATATATATATATATACACACACACACACACACACACACACACACACACATATATATATATATATATATATATATATATATATATATATATATATA